TCACTACCTGAGAGGAGATTTTTTTTCTTTTATTTAACTTTGAGAGGATAGTTATTATGGCACACCTGTGTACAAAAAAATATGTTAATAATTGTATTAGTTTATTAATGAGTATAATTCCCTAAATTAGAACAATGGAAAATTAGAAAAAATAGCAATGTTTAGCTAACATGCACTATCTTTTTGAATATATGTTATCTATTCTGTCTGCTGCACATTCTTGCAATGTATAAACTCTGTATAATGTATAACAATGTATAAATGTATTAACTCTGGAATACCTAGAGAAAGTACTGAAGTGCTAAGAAAGAAACTGTCCAAGGTTAACCACCAGTATAGAAATGCTACATAATAATAGATTCGCAGCTCATTAAAGCATAGCCCGGTCTGCATATCCCACAGAGCTTAATTCTTAATAGAGCTGATTCATTTTGTATGCTTTCCCTGTTTCTCTCAAAAGTTAAACATAAATCAATTTCAAATCTATGTCTTTCCATTCAGTTTCATTTCTTCCCTTAAGTTTTGATTCTTCTCATCTGCCCTTGAGCTTTTGAAAACACTAAGGATAAGTCAAAGCAAGAGTGCAAAGTCACTAGGGCATCATCATTCCAGGGCACGGCTGTTAAATGTGAGCTTTGTTATACTCCTGGCCACAGTTCGACTTCTAAGCAAGTGTGGATTTGAATGTACATTTGCTAGTTAAATGATGAGACTGCTGCTTTATCTGACAGCACCTTAGCAAGTGGATTGGAACACAGTTAAGAAAAGGAAAACATTCAATTTCCCATGATCTGAAGACTAGAACACATCCAGCATTCTTTTCCTTAAGGGCTATTAAGTGTAACTTTAGTTTTCTTTACTCTGTGCTTACCCTAAAGGATTTTAACCTTTCTGGAAAATGGGAAGAAGCTCCATAACTCTGTTTTAATGAGTTGAAAAGACTGCACTGGCTCATTAAAGGAAGCGTGTTTCTGACTCTTTGGATGATGGATTTCTTTTGGCTGGTAGCTAAGGAAGTTTATTTCTCTTATCTTATTGCCGTGGATACAAAGCACCGACTACAGATCTGCAAAGACTCTCTCGTACATCTCTATCTCCTAGAAGAGTATTCATTTCCTCTGACTGCTGCAGGAAATTGCCACAAACTTTGTAGCTTAAAATAATAGAAGTTTATTCTCTTTGGGTTCTGGAGGTTAAAAGTCTAAAATCAGTTGTACTGGCTTAAAATCAAGGCGTCAGCAGTACTGATTTCTGATAGCGTGTGTAGTGGAAAATCTATCCCCTCTTTTTCTGTCTTCTAAATTTAGTTGACATTGCTTATTCTGGGGCCAAGGCATCCCAAGCCATTTCCGTTGCCACTTTGCCACCCTGTGTGTGTGTGTGTGTCCTCCTTTGCTCCATCCTTCTCTCTATCAATTACTCTCTTTCCCTTATAAAGAAACCTGTGACCATAACAGACTTGTCTGGATAAATCTGCCATAAGATTTACTTTATTCTTATCTGTGATAGTCCTTTAACAGCATCAGGCGCTAATCATACGTTACCAGGGGTTTAGATGTAGGTATTTTAGGGTGGGTAGGTATTGGACACTATTAAGTCCTTCATTTATGGTAAATATTAAGCATAGGGAAACTGAATAAAAGAATGACACTTTCAATGAAACAGAGCTATCAGTATGAAGCTTTCAGAGGACAGTGCCACACAAATGACAACTGTCTTGGTTTTGAGAGTAAGCCTGCCAGTTTTATGACTCTGATATCTATCTGCTCAGTATCTTCCAAAGATGGAGATGATAAAAGAAAACAATTCTGTAAAGGCATCACATTCATGAAATAATGAAGACATTGAAGATGGAGCAATATTAAAGTTCCAGACTTTGGATAATTCTTATGCTACTTGATGTTCTATGTTTCTGGACTTCCATTTTTTATGAACGATATTGATTTCAAACACTTTTTACTCAGTGCTAGGGTGGAGATGAAGGTGTTGTCTTTGCAGCATATTTATCCACTCATTCTGTTTTCATCATCACTCTTGAGCTTGTTACAAAGAAGCCTGAAGTGAGAGGCTAGTATTCATGTCAACAGCACACATACTAAAATAGAAATGATACCATGAAATTTAGTATGGCCCCTGCACAAGGAAAACATCCAGATCCCCACACTTCCAGTGTGTGTGCACACTCGTGTGCATGCAAACAATTAATAAAAAAGAGGGCATGAACATGAGGGACAGCAAGAGGTATGTGTGGGAAGTGTTGGGAAAAGGAAGGGGAAGGGTGATGTAATGTAATCATAATTATAAAAATTAAAAAAACGATCATAAAATTATAAAAATAGTGTAAAATGCAGAAAGAAGTAAAAGAGTGATAGGAAAGAGAAGGCTGTAAGGCTCCACCAGCATCTGGACTTTACCACAGCACTCAGGTGTGGTGGAAAATCAGCCTCCAGCTGCCATATGTATCTAAGGTCTCCTTTGTTGCCTACTCTGAATTATCTCCACAGTATTCTAGAGTTCTCCATAGCCAACTCATGTGCTCTTCTCCCCTGAAACAATTTGTAACAAGAAACTCAATGCACTGTAGGAGAGTTGTCCATTGCCCTGTGCTACAATAAACCCTTGGAAAGGCATTGATAAAACACTTGTAATATGTTTAGAGAATGTGTCTAGGTTTATATTTAAGCACAGTTTCAAATCCTAGATGAGAGGGATAAAATGGTGACAGGTACCTGATAGACCCATAAGAGGATGGTATCATTTTTTAATTTTTATCTTTTTAATATTCATCACAGGTTATTGACTTTGTATTCCAGCTGTAGCCCCCTCCCTCATTCTCTTCCAGTCCCAGCCTCCCTTCCTCATCTCCTCCCTGTTCCTTTCGAAGTCCACTGCTAGGGGAGGTCCTCCTCCCCTTCCATCTGACCCTAGCTTATCAGGTATCTTCAGTACTGGCTGCAAGTCCTCCTCTGTGACCTAGCAAGGCTGCTCCTCCCTTGGGGGCAGGGGGAGGTAAAGGAGTCAGTCCTTGAGTTCATGTCAGAAATAGTGAGGATGGTGTCTTTTCACACCAGCCCCTGTAGCTTATTTTCCCTGAAGTCAGAATTGCTCTCAGCCTGAATCCGTCATTGTTAATACATTTTTTTTTGTTTTTTCTAATTTAATGGAGGCTGTAAGCATGAAGTATAGTTTTTATTTTGGGGAACACAATTCAGTTCTTCAGTTTAAGTTAAAAATCTTAAAAAATTATTTAATAAGTAGAAGGCACAGATGCCCTTTGAAAGACTGTACTGATCAAGGTATCGAAGCAGAAGCTGAGACACATAGCCAAACTGGGCAGAGTGAAGGGAATCTTAGGAAAGAAGGGGGAGATAGAAATACCTGGAGGGGACAGGAGCTCCAAAAGGAGACCAACAGAGCCAAAAAAAAAAAAAAACTGAGCCCTGGGTGCCCTGCAAAGACTGATGCCCCAACCAAGGACAATGCATGGAGAGGACCTAAAATCCTCAGATGTAGCCCATAGACTCAGCCTCCAAGTGGGTTCCCTAATTAGGGTAGCAGGGGTTGTCTCTGGCATGAACTCTGAGACAGGGTATTTGATCACCTCCCCCTGTGTGGTGCAGCCTTGCCAGGCCATAGAGGAAGAAAATGCAGCCAGCCCTGATGAGACTTGATAACCTAGGGTCCAGTAGAAGGGGAGGAGGACCTCACCTATCAGTGGACTAGGGGAGGAGTATAGGGGAAGAAAAGGGAGGGAAGATGGGATTGGGAGGCTACAAGGGAGGGGACACAGCCTGGATACAAATTGAATAAATTGTAATAAATGATAATAATAAAAAAATTAAATAAAAATAAATAAAATCAACCACATTAACTAAAATATCAGGGTCATTCCCCAGGCAGATTTTTCTCTTGAATATTGTTCCAAATATGACCAATAAATATTTTCTAAATCAATAAAAGGCACAAATACCCTGTAGCAACTACACAGATTATTTAAGTGAAACCTTTCAACATGGCCATTACCTTTTGTCACTACAGACCAAAATCAACTTCAGTCCATGGATAGAATAAATGCAATATTCAAAGGAAAACAAGTTAATGATAAGTAAATCCTGTATGCTAGAAAGTGGTCCATATCTCACAACATGGAGGCTTTACAGCATGGGCAAAGGGCAAATGTTGCATAATCTTGGTCAATTAAGAAACTACAATATTGACAAACTGGATTTCTTTGATAGTACATGGGGTAGAAACTGTTTAAGAAGGGGATTTCACAGAAGCTTTGGTTGCTTAGCAACCACTGACCCATGAGAACCAGTTCATTTTTAGTCGGGAATAATAGGTCACCAAATGCCACTGAGATTACTGTGAGCCTCACATATGGAATTTTCCAAACACATCAGCTGAGAAGTTATCACCAGGGTTTGGCCTACGACAGAGATGTGTGTAACATATTTTGTGGAGGAAATTATTTATTTATTAAGTGGGCCTCTTCTTTTTCAAGTGACAGTATTGGGGCAGCAAAACCCTCCACCGTACAAGAAAGTGTGATCAAGTCTTGCAGCATTTCTCAGAGTCAAAGAGTAGAAAAATATAGGCCCTTGCTTTATTGAAACCTTGTTAACCTTTTAATAACCATGCTGTAGAATCCTGTGGAGACACAGACTCTAGTTAATCACTGATTGGCTGAGAGCTTGCTTATTAACACTGAAATCACTATTCACTAAAGCTATGGTCTACAGAAGTTGACCCATGGGTGATGGTCAGAGTAGTGATTATAGGTACTTTGAAGACTCCAAACAAACTTATTTTTGTGTGAGCCTGAAGACACTAGCAGCTGTGGCTAAACAATGCAATCCTGAAATTGTTATGCATTCCTGTGTCAGACAGAGAGAAGGAAGAGAGTCTGGAGATGTTCCTTGCAATCACCAGGGAGGATATAAAGAGTGCTTTCAGCTACAGCCACAGCATACCCGCACAGCTGCCTCTTGTTTGTTCTCTCAGGCTCCATGTCTCTTCTGGGTTATCCTGGACTTTGCACTGCCACTTCCCATAGAAATCGCTGCTACATCCCTGTGACGCCCACCGCTGCCTGCTCACATGATGTAAACCCTACCTTCGGATATTACTTACCCAGCAGCTACCAAGGCAATCTCTGGCTTTTGGACCATTGCCAAGACTCCTACTGCATAGCACCTTGCTGTGACTCTCCTAGCCAGGAACTCAAGACTTGCACTCCAACGTGTGATCCCAGGAACTCCTGCGTGCCTTGCAACTCCCCATCTGCAAATCAAGTTGTTAGTGCCTGTGAAACTACCGACATCAGATCCAGGCCCAGCTGCAGTCCCACTACTGGAACCAAAGGGTATGTATCCAATTGCACCCCAGGTGCTCGATTTGCCTCGAAAGCCTGCCAGACTCCTCAAAATGACTCCTGCTACACAGGGCAAGTTCATTCCCTCCCCAATACTCTCCAGGCCCTGCCTCACTGTAGTCTAGGCAACAGCGGATACAGAAGCTATAGAAACTTTGGATTCATCACCAATGGCTTCTCTCCATCTTATTACACCACCAGTAGCTACCAACCCCAAAGTTCCCTGCTGAGATATTGCCAGTATCCAAATTATGGGCCTTCAAGCTTCCCACCACGGAGTTACTTATGTAGAAATTTTCAGTCTCTGAGCTACATACCTAGTACATTTCCACCTCTGAGATATTTATGCAGCAGCAACAGACCTCTGAATTGCTACTGATTGACTTACAGCTTGTACAAGAGCACTGAAGAGGCTGATGGGGCAGATTTTACTCAGTTCTGGGGTCTCTATTACTTTGCTAAATTGACTTATTCATCTCAGGAAGGTTGTACTGATGTCGTCAAGTATAATGCCAGACCTGATTAGCCACCCTGTAGTTTGTTCTTCTGTTAGTACTCTCTGTATAAAATTCTGATTCTGGGAGCAATGTTAGCTCTGAAACTGACTAGAGTGGACTCACTGAAGAAATCCCGAATGAAGATCAGCCATGAACAGCTTTCTTACTCCGGCTGCCACTTGCCTGCCATGGTTATGATCCTCTACCTGGCTTCATTCGTGATTTCAGCCCAGATTTTCCAGGTCATTCTGCTTTTCATCAATAGTTGTGTTAACTGCCTGATGAGCATCTTGCCAATGAGAAAAAGAAATAAAATTCCTTTACCCACACTGAACAGCGCTTTTTCTCCTTTTCCTTCCCGACTGCTTATAAGAGTGAGCAAGTATCAACAGCCAAGGCTACTAAAGAGAAAACCTCAGCACTCTTCTCCTTCAAAGAAGACACAAAGCACAGGGTTGATTGACAGTTAGCTTTTAGACTCCATCGTTGGGAGAAATCCCAGAAGTGGCCAAAACGCAGAAACTCTATGAGAAAAGAAAGACAAAATGCTATTGTAAATTCTCTGTGCCGCCCCAAATCCACCTATACTCTGGATCCTTCCGTAGCCCTGCTCTGTTGAATTATGTCATCCCAATTTTTAAAAAGTATCTTGATTCTTGATTAATAAACAATTTTCTGTATGGAAACCTTGGCTTCCCTTATGTTCATGACATGTTTGTTAATGTTTTGTTTATACACAGTTTGCATTCCACTGTCGATTGCTAGATTTTTTAGAATTTGGTTCGTAATCTAAATTAAAATTTTGAAGAAGGTTAAATGTAAAGTCCAGGTATTTAGTTTTAGTTTTGTTTTCTTTCTAATACATTCAATTTATCTTGTAATGTTTGTGATTAATTTTCAAATTAAAAATTGTAATAATGTTTTAAAATCAATTTAATTAAAAGCATATATTTATGTGTATACTATATATGACAATGAAGTATAGACACTATTTGAGAAGCTCAAAAATTAAATATAGAATCTCTTGAGACTTATTTTAGGCATATAAACTTCTCAGACAAAAAGGAAATTAAAACCTTCAGTCTTGGTGGTAAGATACTAAGATACATAGGCAATGCATCTCTGTCAGTAAATCATGAACCAGGTTTAAAGGGAACTGTTTTGTGCAGATGAGTGCAACAGCTGTCTGGAGTATTTGGAATACCCACAGTACTGACAGCCTGTGTCTCATGGATAGAGATAAAACTCAGGGGTAGAGTGTTTGTGTGGGGTGAAAGGCTTTGTATTTTATACTTTTAGCACTTCAAAAAATAGATAATGTCCAAAATTAAAACTTTCAAACCATACACCTGGAGCTCCCATTTTAACAAAGCCAGTGCAGGCCTACTGTGTGTAGGGAAAGCTTCAAAAAGACTATTAATGTCTTGATTTTATATGGATATATTTAATGATGATGGCATTCCTCTCTCGTGTGAGTGTCTTCAACTTTCAAATAATTATTTTTTGAGGTTACAAAAAATAAACTACTCTTAGGAACCACACAATGACTGTCCAGGACCCACTTACTTCTTTTGAAGAAGCTTCAGTGTTCACGTACGTGGAAACCATTTTACGTACACTGGCAGAGTGTTTGGTTGCTTGGACCAAATGTCTATTCTTTCTCGTTGCATTCTCTGAACATAAACCCAACCCCTGAGACATCAAGAAGGATTCTTTGAGGGCATCAAGACTTAGGGAGACAATTCTCAATAACTGCTCAGAGGAGTGCTATACTGAAACAAACATAATATGACCTCAACCATTTAACAACAATAGAAGACTTTCAAAGCAGGGAGGGATCACCTCCAATTAGAAAAATGGCAGGACTCTCTCCGGAAAGACTGGCCGTGGAGCGATGTCTGAGTGCTCAGGGTGCTGGGGGAAGGGGAAACGGTACATCAGTGTGAACCCAAGTGGCACTGAGCTTGAGTGGAGGAGGGGTGAAAACAAGTGTCACCAGGGAGGAAAATGGAGAGAAATCTGGGACATTACATAAAAAAATCATGGGTAAGGAATGTTCTCTTAAATGAAAGCAAGCAAGTTATGCAACATTTACAAATATGAGAACGACAAAATTGAAAGTGTCTAATAATGAAAGATAGTGTTTAAAAATGAAAAACAGAGAGAGGTGATGGACCATGTGAGAACTTTGTGCTTGGAACCTGAATTTTCTGTAAACATTAAGCCCAAAAAAAGATCTCTATTAATGACATCAAATAACGGACAAAATAATACAAACAACTCCCTAAAGCAGTATTAAGAGAAAATATGGAGCATGAGCTCCACAAAATTACTTTCTTAACTATTTAATATCTACAAAGTAAAAAAAGCACAAATGTCTTGATGAGAAAAGCAAATAATGTGAGCACATGATTACTAATAAAAATACAACTGCCTGTAAAGAATTCACTATGTAAGACCTCGTTAGTAATAATTCATTATGAACACAAGGTATTCTCCTTTGTGCCGATTTGTCAAACATATTTACATTAGTAATACATTAACTTACAAATATCCTTTCATAGGCTGCTTGTGGATCAGGAGATCAGCAGCGCCTGTGCTGCTGTGAGGTTTCAAAGGCAACAACTGAATGTTGGTATAATTCCACGTCTTAAAATGCCTACTGGGGAAAATGTATGGCCGAGGACAAATTTAGGCCTACTTCACTTGGCTATTCAGCTTTTATTGGTAGTGCCCAGGAGGGGCCTGTTGATTATACAGTCTATCCAATCATAAAGTGGACTCAACTTTGTTTCTTAGTTCCATTTTCTATTGTTTTTGATTGTTTAATTACATGCAAAAAGCATGATTGTTAGCTCTAAAATTTGCTTATCACTCATTCTTCAACTCCAAATCTGAAATTCTCAAAAGGCGACAGACCTTAGGCCCTCACCCTGCAATTGTCTCCTTAGGTGCACTTCCCCGAATCCAGCTGGAGCCCAGGAACACAGTGTGCAAAGTCCCAGAAACAAACAGCTGATAAGCTTTAGTTTGAACACTTATATGAGTAATGAAATCCACTGTCTCTCTGTCCCACTCGGGAGGCAATCACCTCAGTGTCCGGGAAATCTATGCAGTGCATTGACCTTCTTTTTAATCGGGAGCTGTTGTGTTTGTTATATTATCAGAGCATTATAGAACCCAAGTAGCTCTAAAACACAAGAGCAATGAATGAGAATTTTCTGTGTGCATTGTTGTACTTGTTCTGTATTAATGCTATCACTGATTTATATATCTAATGCATAAATTAAAATTTGACATAATACATAGATATAAGAAGATACATACTAAATATATCTGGTGTTACTGAAGTTTCAGGCATTCCCTGGGAGTCCTGAAAAGTAACCTCATGGATAAATCAGATGATTGCTAATCTTTTCAGCACGTTTTTGACACTGCATACTGAAACAAAATTCTTGTCTATCCACTTAAGTAATTTAAAAATCTGAAAAGTCCTCTAAAGGGAGGTTATCAACTAAAGCATAATCTAGTCATCCTGACAATTTTTTTAACAATTAAATGGAGTGGTCTACACCAGTATGATTATTACGGTAAAAAGGCAAATTTCAAAGTGAAAGTGAAGAAATGTAAAATACATTTATGTTGGATACCACATAAATAAGCATTTCTCTTTATGATATATATTTCAGCTAATTAATACAACATACAAGTTCAAACCTACTAACATGCAACAAAAGTAATGATATGTCAGCGTTAGGGAGAATTTTAAAAATGGGAGCTGCAAGTCTCAGAGTTGATGCTTATTCTTTATGCGTAAAATTAAAGTTTAAAAACAAAGGAAAATAGTACTGAGAAATAAAGTTGGTTACCACTTCTGATTGGAGAAAAGTATGCAATCAGTGGCACTCTCTTATTATCAATGACAATATTGAATATCAAAGTGAAGTGGGTTCCTGCCTTTTACAGGGACCTTCTAAGAAGTCTCAGATTATAAGAATTCATCAATATTTGACATGATTAATTTCAGTTAAGCAAAAACTACATCTAATAAATCGTGTGCTGTGGTATAAAGCACAGCACATCTCCCCAGAGAAAACTTAAGTTGTAGTAACCAGCTAAATTTTTTTATTATTATTATTTATTCACTTTGTATCCTGGTTGTAGCCCCCTCCTTCATCTCCTCACCTAAATCCTTTAAAAATTGTAGTTAGAATTATACTAATGAATCTGCTTTTCCTTAAATTTCACTGTATAGATAACCAATACTTTGTGCCTTCCCAATAAAACCTACAAGTCTTTTTGCAATTAAAAACAAAAAAAACAGAAGTAATCAGAGGATTACTTCCCACAGGTACAAAATTTTTGCAAATGCAAATAAAACTGAAAAGTGTCTGTTTCTCTTACACTCTTCTCATTTCCCAGACGTAGCAGAGTTAAAGAACTGTATACATACCTCCTAGTTCAATGCTGTAAACCAAGCCAAACTCTACCTTAATATTTATGCAGTGTGTGACTTATGTAATGAATGATTAAAAGCCGTGCAAATTTGTGTACTTGGAAGCCCATGTCTAGATGCTTGTTTACAATAAAGTGCAAAAAGTTAATGAAAATGCTACCTTCGGCATGCCAGTAAAGGTTTCAGAAGACTCCATGACAACCACGGTGGACTCTGTCTGCCGTCTTGAAACATTTTCACTCCTATCAGTTTGAATCCTTTATTTTGGGTGATTGTATTAAATCTACATAATTTCCATAACAAATATAAGCATGAACATGTTTCTAACCTTTTTTTTTTTCATTTTACCTTCATTATGATAATGACATCTTATGGGTTTTCCACAAAATTTCTGTCAACTCTCTTATTAATGGTTAGTATACTGTA